TCCCCCCCCCCCCAGCATGAATAGCTCGCTTTTTGCGCGCGTGAGCAGAGTGACCCTCCCCTTTCCAAAAAACAACAGAGAGGTATGGTTGAGGTTGAGGATGAGTCGTTGTGCGGTGCATGTCACAAGAGCAACAAACTGATAGAACCACCTCTCTCACGAGGAACCAACCGCAGGGTCACCGCTGTCCGTCTTACTGTAGACCCGAGGCATTTTTTGTTTTTTTTCCCTAACCGGGTGCGTAGTCATACCTTGGCTCCAGGCCTCCAGCGGCGACAACCTTCATCGCGAATGCGTCCGCTGCGGCCGCGCACGCGCGGTCGCACGCGACCAGCCGCTGCCTCGCCAACGCGAGTTCCTGCCACCGACCGCGATATTTGTCCGTATGCATCGATGATGGCGAACGGGATGGAGACTAGCATTGCGCACGGTTTAGCTTGGGCGCCGAATACAACCCAAAACTTAAACACTTTTGTGCAGCCGGTGTAGACAGCTAAATATTCATGCGTGCCAAAGAAAGTGTTGCTTTGAAACACGCGCAGCCTGTGCACCACTATGTGCGCGTTTTCTGAGTTCGTGTCTTTTCGAGTGTCGAAACGAGACCCGGAGGCTTTCTGACAGTGTTTTTCCGTCTGCAGTAACACAGCAGTTGATAGGTGCTGCCAAACTCCTTTGTATTCGTTCTCGAGAGTGAGGTCGCACAAAACGACCAAAAGCGCTGCTACATGCCTTGTTTGGGGACTGCTGATAATTTTCGTTCTGACGATTCGGCATATCATATGTCAGGCTGGATGAGCCTTGTCAGCAGCTCCAGCGATACGTCGGGACGCGTTCCGCTCGCGATGTCACGGAGAGATGGGACTTGAAGGTCACATTATGTACCAGAGAGCGAGGGAGACATAGCGAGGGAAAGCGAAGCGGGGGGGGAAAGGGGATACGGGGGGAGCGAGAGAGAGAGCGAGAGAGCGAGAGAGAGAGAGAGAGAGAGAGAGAAGAGAGAGAGCCCAGGGCACCGTCGCTACCACAAACGACAGAGACCCCGTAGATCGGTTTTGAGCACCAAGTACCCCACGACACTTACCTCGTCGAAGGCGAGAAGATCTTCCGGAGCTACAGCGCACGCCTCCTCCCAAAGACGGCCGTCACCACCGATCCCCCCGCCGAACCCGAGGGATTCCGTCTCTGCCCCCGCTGACTTGTTAGTCCAGGGCCCGATGATCGGCATGGAGCGGAGCAGACGGCTGACTTCCTGTGTTCGGTTAGACACCAAACGCCATTAACGTTCGTGGTGTTCACATGGAGAGAGAGAGAGAGAGAGAGAGAGAGAGAGAGAGAGAGAGAGAG